CGTTAGTCATGTCTGCAAACTGGTTGACACCCAATCGGAAAGTGTGGAGACCTTTGTCGGCCTCAGCGTTATGGGCAGTGATGTACGCGTAGTTGGTCTCAAAGATCTGCCGGCGCACCGACTCCTCGCCCTCACCACCGAAGTAGGAGTTCCCACGGAATTCATTCTGCAATGCAATTATTAGTATTACAATTCTATAACAAATCTGACCCAAGAATACATACCTTGAATGCAATCCATTCGCTCTCCAATTCCTGGAGGGGAACGGCGCTCACCGACACTATTAAGGCTAAGGCTATGAAGAGTTTCATTATTGACAGTCAATACCTATCAACTTGTTTTGGAACTGGAGGTTTGTGTCGCTGTTTATATACCAAGCACATCATGGTGATAATTCAGTGAATTGGTCTAATTTTAATCTTAAATTATGTTAATTTAAATAATAAATGATAATAGTATCATTTAATCTTGATAATATAGTCATATGTTTTTCTAATTCTGTGTAAATTCTTCAAATATTATCTTGAGTATATTATGTGAGATATTTATACGAATGGATCGTTTCTATTGTAGAGTAAGAATATAAAACCTTGATAACTAATATATTGCTTATATATAAACCAATACACACATGCTTTTGCAGTTATCATGTTTTGAATTTTTACTCAAAAAAGTGAAACGATTTATTGGAATACATATATCACGTGTGCTCAACTTTAAATTATCACAATCATATTCACACATACTGTAACCTGGGTAATCATAAATCATTGCGGGAGCGTGCTTTCTATAGCACATTCAATCTGGGTAATCTTTTGTACTCTTTTGTACTCTGGATAATTAGCTTAGGCTTAAAATTACTAGACCAAGAGATGTCGCAGAACTAGTTTTAAATTTATATGCTTCAAATTGTAAAAAACATGTTTTGCCTAAGGGATCATTCAATAAGTACGTACGCACTGGATGGGGGGAGGGGGGTCAGCCAAGGCATGCGTACACAATGTTAAAGTCCTATGTACGAGGAGCGTTTCGGGGGGA